TTAGAAAGCAAACCATGTTTCTATCCCTCATGACTGGGGTGAATAGGGCTGAAACTGAGTAAGCAACGCTGGGTGAAAGCTAGAGAGGCAGCTGATAGGATCATGATCTGGGCTGTATTATTGCATAGTTCTGTGCCCTTCCCCTTTATTTAAATCAAATAAATTATGCAAAATAAATATAAGGGAAGCAGGCTTCAGCACACAGTTTTCCTTGGAGCAAAATTGGGGTTACTTTGCTGCAGATTCCCCACCCCCAACCCCCAGTGCAAAGCACACACTGCTCTGCCTATGAATTTGTCGGAGGACAGCGTATCGATGGCCCATTCATTTCCATCAGTGAGGTTACAGCTGTTCACATAGCTTACCAGCCAACTTAATATCATTAGCTCCCATTGCTCTTGCTAAATCCAATACACCTTTCTGAGCTCTTTTGTATGCCTGCCACCATTTCTATAGGCCAATGATTTTCCCAATAGACTGTGCTTGTCTCTTCCAGGAGAATATTGCTTCATTTTAAATAAAAACTCCCCACTGCGGAACTTATATAGACCTTTACTCTTCAGGTCACTGAGTTGCGGGAGGGGAGAGATGTTAGGAAAAGCTGCTGGCTTATTTTCATCTATTTGCACTGGGTAAATTTAATATAAACAGATACCGTGTTGATGGCAAGCCAAATATTTATTCCACAAATAATTCCAGTACTGTTTTTTTTTATACATGAAACAAGCCATTACTTCTAACTTAGGCATCAATAGCAATTATGAAATACAGACCTCTCTGCAGTGCAATCACCGTTCTGCTGCCATGCAGCATTTCCTATGCTAGTGGGATTATACAGACACACCACCTGCCTTTGATTAGTCATTGCTTCCCCACAAATCCATGGTCCAATCCTCAGTGGAAGCTAAACAGATTTTTGTCACCGATGGTACTATGATGTGCCTCCCCAAACCACTTCACTTTTATATTTTTAGATGTGCACCAAAATGTTTTGAGCATATGTTTAGAAATGTGAGATGGATGCGGGTGGCACTGTGGGTTAAACCACAGAGCCTAAGGTTTGCCGATCGGAAGGTCGGCGGTTCGAATCCCCATGATGGGGTGAGCTCCCATTGCTTGGTCCCTGCTCCTGCCAACCTAGCAGTTCAAAAGCATGAAGTACAAGTAGATAAATAGGTACCGCTCCGGTGGGAAGGTAAACGGCATTTCCGTGCGCTGCTCTGGTTCACCAGAAGAGACTTAGTCATGCTGGCCACATGACCCGGAAGCTGTACGCCGGCTCCCTCAGCCAGTAAAGCGAGATGAGCACCACAACCCCAGAGTCAGTCACGACTGGACCTAATGGTCAGGGGTCCCTTTACCTTTATCTAAAAATGTGAATGTGACAAATACATGTGCAAATGTACCAGACAGACATCTTCTTCAGGGAACCATGATGGCCTACAGTTCTTTCATAAAATCATAGAATTGAAGAGTTGGAAGGGACCATGAGGGTAATCTAGTCCACTTCCCTGCACTGCAGAAATCTTTTGCCCAATGTAGGGCTTGAACCATTGACCCTGGGATGAAGAATTTCATGCTCTACCGAATGAGATATCCCTTTGTCATGTGTACACTTATTGGTAAACATGGATGAACCCCTGTGTAAGATGTGAAGCACCGTATTTCTCTCTCTATAAGATGCACCAGACTACAAGACGCACCTAGTTTTTTGGAGGAGGAAAACAAGAAAAAAAATATTCTGAATCTCAGAAGCCAGAACAGCAAGAGGGATCGCTGCGCAGTGAAAGCAGCAATCCCTCTTGCTGTTCTGGCTTATGTGATAGCTGTGCACCCTGCATTCACTCCATAAGATGCACACACATTTCCCCTTACTTTTTAGGAGGGAAAAAGTGAGTCTTATAGAGCAAAAAATACGGTAGCTATCAGTCTTTAGGGCGTGGGTGGAGAATTTGTTGAGATGGTGTTGGACTCCAACTCCCATCATCCCTGTCCATGCAGACAGGGGTTCATGGAAGTTGGAGTCCAGCAACCTATGGCGGGCTAGAGGTTCCCCACCTGTGCTTTTGGGTGAATCCCTCATTCATTGAAATTAGATGTAGCACTTCTTCAGTAATGAAAGAGTAAAGGAATTGATTCCAGGGTTCCTGAGGAACATAATAACAGAAGCAATGAGCAGCACTCTTTCTGTCTGTGTAGGGTTATTTTAGATGGATCACCAAAGGGCTGGCAGAAGGTGTTGTGGACAATGTTGCAAGCTGTGACAAGATGCATTTCAGTGGGATTCAGACCCAGGCTTACAAATGTCTGGGTAGAACTGGGGGATATATGGTGAGCAGGGAAGGCATCTTTAAGTGGCATGAACTTCAAAGACAGGTTTCCCCAACACTCAAGTTTTGATATTTCAAAGCAGACCACAGAGCAGTACCATAGAGAGACTTGCTCTGGAAATTTTAAAGATACATCCCTTGATTATTTCAACTTTTCAATATTAAAAAAGAACAGTAGGCTCTAGCTCATGGGTCAGCAAACTTTTTCAGCAGGAAGCCGGTCCACTGTCCCTCAAATCTTGTGGGGGGCTGGACTATATTTTGGAAAAAAAATATGAACAAATTCCTATGCCCCACAAATAACCCAGAGATGCATCATGTAAAAATACCAGGCAGGCTCCACAAATAACCCAGAGATGCATTTTAAATAAAAGTAGACGTTCTACTCATGTAAAAAAACGCTTATTTCCGGACCGTCTGCAGGCTGGATTTAGAAGGCAATTGGACCGGATTCGGCCCCTGGGCCTTAGTTTGCCTACCCATGCTCTAGCTCTTATACAGAGATATAAGGGAAAGCATGCAAGCAATACTATATCAAAATCAGTAAGAAGTTAACCTTTTCCTGACCTCCAGCAATCCGGGAAATGAATGCAACGAAACAAGGGTGGCGGGCAAACATTAGGGCAATTGGCACTAATACTTATCTTGTTTTAGTTTTTTAAAAAAATGCTCAGGTTATTTAATACAGTGACAATGCACATGGCTAATTGGAAGCAAGCCCTGTTGAATTCAGTAGCCCTTGCTCTCAGGTGAGTGTGTACCAGATTTCAGCCTGAGTAACTAAAATTTAAAGATAATGGCACCGCAATGTGATGCACATTGACTCAGAAATATGTCCCACTGTATTTAATAGCACTTGCTTCTTTGTAAGTGTGTTTATAATTGAAACCCCGCACTACTGCTTCTGAGATTTTTTTGCTGCTTACCACCCACTTCCATTGCTCTTACAGCAGTGGATACTTATCCCCTGTTGTAGGATTTCTGGATACAGAATTGCTGTAGGGCTACTTTGTACTCCCCCACCCCACCCCAACACAGCTAAGGCTTAGTATTGTATCTATCACCTCCTCTGTGCTTTGGAGAGATTATCTGCCCAAAGTGAAGGGAATATATTTGTCTTTATAGTCAGCATCAGGCGGCACTGTGTTCTTATTATGGTTCTTTACCTTTAAACCACACTTGGACCAGACAGCTTTTTAAACAGAGGACCCATTTAAATAGAGTTGTCATCTGTACACGTGGCTACTACAGTCGTGAGAGGAGATACTGTATTTTTTGCTCTATAAGACTCACTTTTTCCCTCCTAAAAAGTAAGGGGAAATGTGTGTGCGTCTTATGGAGCAAATGCAAGCTGGCCAGCTATCCCAGAAGCCAGAACAGCAAGAGGGATTGCTGCTTTCACTGCGCAGCGATCCCTCTTGCTGTTCTGGCTTTTGAGATTCAGAATATTTTTTTTCTTGTTTTCCTCCTCCTCCTAGGTGTGTCTTGTGGTCTGGTGTGTCTTACAGAGTGGGGAAAAAAATGGTATTTCTCCTTATACCCAGCAGAAGACTGCATCCACGTGTATATATGCACATACATGTACACTGGATTGGTGATGGATAAAGGTTATTATTAGAATAAGGGTTTGGGAGCTCATCTCCCAATTATACTCTCCCTCACCCAAATGCTGCTTATTAAATAATTATCATTTATGCACAAGCCAACAAACACCAAAGAGTCCTCCCTCCCCTCTCCCAGTTATACTTTTTGATCTCTTCATTGGCATCATTTTAGCATGCTTGCTTTTGACCATCATTAAGAAAGGTGACAGAACAAGCTTGGGAATTGAAATTAATATTCAAAATTCCCCAGAACGTCAAATGTTGTTCATGGAATCTCAGCTCCGAATGTGGAATCTTCCTCTCCAAATATGAGAGCTGTGAATTTAGTGGCCTCTCTTGATTTGTTTTGACTTTGACAGTAAACTGTAATATAATCTTATAACTTCCAACTATCAAATACTACCGTATATAATAATAAATACTAAGACTTATTCTCCTAGCGTCTATTCTTATTGTAGACATAACAGCATTGCCTATACACAAGAGAGAGATAATGCCATGCTCAGAGGAAACTCAAAGGTTTTCAGATGTGGGATCATATTTTTTTGGGGGGGGGGACTCCTAAGGAAAAGGAGCCCCCAAACAACCCATTCAGGAATGATCATGCTCAGTGGCCACAGAATGTTGGGGAGGGCTCCAGAAGACTGGAGGGGGGAAAAGAATTTTATGGAGCATTCTGAGAGAATGCATGGTGTGTTGGCCAGGACACTGAACCGGAGCACTTCACACTGCAGTAATACCCTGCAACAACAACAACAACAACAACTTACTATTTATACCCCGCCCATCTGGCTGAGTTTCCCCAGCCACTCTGGGCGGCTCTCAATCGAGTGTTAAAAACAATACAGTATTAAATATTAAAAACTTCCCTAAACAGGGCTGCCTTCAGATGTCTTTTAAAAATAGGATAGCTGCTTATTTCCTTGACATCTGAAGGGAGGGTGTTCCACAGGGCAGGTGCCACTACCGAGAAGGCCCTCTGTCTGGCTCCCTGTAACCTCACTTCTCACAATGAGGGAACTGCCAGAAGGCCCTCGGCGTTGGATCTCAGTGTCCGGGCTGAACGATGGGGGTGGATACGCTCCTTCAGGTATGCAATCTTGTTGTATGCCCCACTTGTTCAATAATTAAGTATCATTCTAACTACTATTTACGTATATTATGCTGTTTCTCAAACACAATATAAAACCAGACATAACTGTGGGTCACTTTTCAAATTCATTAATAAGGCAACCAAACAGAAACATAAAATTTATAAAATGTATAAAATTATACATAAAAATAAATCTTTGCCTATACAATAAATAAAACATACATAAAAAGCTGAAAGTTAGATCTTGATGGAAGCCATATCACCTTGTTTAAGTTAAGGGGCTTTTAGCTGTATTAAACATCATAGACCTGTCCATATTGAACAACAAATATTTGATCTTATCCATATGACTGACGGTAGCGACCGCTGGTAAAGATTTCTCCAAATATTTTTGCTTTGGTGTTTCACTTATCAAACACTGTCAAGCACTAAAACCACTATGTATCAGCAGTCAAATGCTGTCAAATATTAAAATCAACTCCAGCAAATACAGACATTAAATATCTGGTGTATACTTGACAATGTTTGTGGAGGATAATTTCCGAGAGCAAAATAGTTTCAACTCTAAACATGTTGAAACTCAAAAGACTGTCTTTGTTTAAAGTTCATGATTCTTGCTCTCTCTCTTTTTGGTGGGTTCCTTTTTCTGGACAGAGGCCAGAATGGTCGGTAAATGTTCTTGCTTTGAGATGTGGGCATGTTTACTTCGGATGTTTCTCTTTAGCTTTTGGAACACATGAGTGAGGAGGATCCTTCCTCAGTGGTAATAACTGGAGCTCTGTCTGGATTCCTTTCACATTCATTTCAAGGTATCTGTCTCCTTCCCTGCCCCTTCAGTCAGACAAGAACAGGAAATGCAAAAAGCTCTTCATGAAGATGACCAGGATTCCTCAGAAAGCAGTTCATACCAAGATCCCATTAGAAGGGATTCCTTTAGTCAGCAACAACTTCCAGCTCCACTGGCACACCAGGAGCCAGAAACATCCACAAGGTCTCCAACAGGCCAAAAAGGCACCAAACAGGCGTCTCTAGGGAACACCAATGATCAGACCTCAACATTGCAACAGCCTCCATTGGTAACCAATGGCACTAGCAAGGCACATGTTAGCCATTTACCAAAACAAGTTTTCCCTTGGATGAAAGAAACAAGACACAGCAGCAAGCAGAAGAACAACCTCCCATCTTCAGGTACCTTGTTTTATCTGTCATCTCCCATGCTTGAATGTGCATCTATCCAATGGTAGCCAACATGGTGCCCTCACGAGGTTGATAGACACCCACCAGTCCCAGACAGCAATGGTCAGGGATGATGGGAGTTGCAGCCAAACAGCAGCATCTGGAATGCACATCATTGGCTACCATGGATCTAGGCTATAGCTTTCCTTGCACTTTCAAATAAGTGTTCACATGCAGTACTTTAGCTTACACCATGCGGTACTTTAATTTATACCATGTCCTTCCTCCAAGTAACTAAGCACACATTATGGAGGGTTCACTGGTGGTCTCTTGTCCAGAGACTGCTTAAGACCAGACACTCTTAACTTTACTGGTTGAACCACAGCATGTGTCTTCAGAGCATTTTCTGGACAATAACTTACAAAGTACTTTTGTACTTTTTATTTGCTTATGTTTATATTCCATCTTATATTGGGATAATAGGAGCAACTAGGCTTCCACTTGAGGAATTCAGTAAGAATTATATATAATTTTTCTTTTAGAAGTTGCTCTAATATATTCTTTATAGGTCCTTTACCAACCCCAACCTCCCAGTATTATGAGAATAGCCATATGTCTTATTAAACAAACATTAGGTTTTCATTTAGATTAATCCATTAGCATAGGAAGGATATAGACATATATAGAAAGACAATTATTCAGCTGGATGTAGAGACAAATAGATAGACAAACATAATAGCATAGCATAGAATAAAACGGATCAGAACATTTCCATTCTTTGCAAATGGAAACACAAACCCTCCAAACTGAGAATGTTACTGAGCTGAACCAAATATTCTCCAGTTTCCATTTTTAGTGGAGACTGCAATTATGGGGGAACATAAATACTCACATTTTCCAATTAAGTTACCATTATTTTTCTTGAGTTTTTTGGGGTGTGGGGTGGGTGTGGCACCTTTACCCCTCTGACCTCTTCCTTTTCTTCCATCTTGTATGAATTACATCAGTGATCCAACTCAGTCACAGATTACTCAATTACCAGGATGATGTAACATTCAATACTGTCCAGTCAATCAGATTGGGTTGTGTGATGTCACTCACTGAGGGTAAAATAAGCAAACATTTCTTGCCAGGTGCCTTGTGGAAGTGAGGGTGGGACCACCAAAAAAGGGCAACACAACTGAATACACTTGCCAAAATCTGTGAGTTGTTTTGGTTCAGCTCTAACATCTCTCTGAGTTTTATCCCCACATACCGGTAACATGCATGCTTGTACGTTGGGGTAGAGAATCTGTGGCCTTCCAGATGTCATCAGACTCCAACTCCCATCAGCCTCAGCCAGCAAGGTGAATGATAGAGATGTTGGGACTTGTAGTCCAGCAACATCAGGAGGACCACAAGTTCCCCACCTCTGATGTACGCCATATTATTATTATTATTATTATTATTATTATTATTATTAATCTCCCAGGTACAATATTTTGCGAGGCAATACATCTATTCCTTGCAAAGTCATTAAGAATCAACCTGAACTGACTTTTTTCATTTTCTTCATTTAGACCCCAGCTCCTCTCCACCAAGTCTCTCCTCACCCAAGAGAGTGCGCACAGCCTACACCCAAACGCAGCTGGTGGAACTGGAGAAGGAGTTCCATTTTAATAGATACCTCTGCCGGCCACGCAGGCTGGAAATGGCCCGGCTTCTGAGGCTCTCTGAGAGGCAAATCAAGATCTGGTTCCAGAACAGAAGGATGAAGTATAAGAAAGACAGCAGGGTCAAGGGGACCATTGGGAAGTCCCCGAGCAAAAGTCCTCAAGTGAGTGACTATTTCAGTCAAGTGGAGGCTGAGTATGATTTGGCCACACCAAGTTCATGTAGCAAGGCCCAGGGAGGGGTATATAGTTATACAGACCCTCTCTTTGACAGCCCCTTAACGTCCATCTCCTTGGAGTATGGCCCCCTTTCTCTGCAAGGAGACAGTCATCATTATGGACCTCCAGTTCTGCAAGGGAGTCCAAGTGAAGTGGAAGAAAATTACCTGGGAAATATGCCTGAGGCTGACTCACTCTTCAGCTTCCCTGACTGTTCCTCTGCAAACCTGGACTACAGCTGTGTTGCCGAAATCCCCAGTCATCACCAGCTTGGGCTGTCCAGCTCACATCCCATTTACACAGATTTAACAACACATCCTGTGCCTCAGGGAGATTCTCAGGGACCTGTAAATCTTATGCATCTGTGAGGGCTCTCTCTGCCATGGAAACCAAGCAGGGGAAATTGCTACAGTCCTATTATCTCATTAAAAAAGAAAAAAACCCTCTAAGTGCAACCAACAGCATTTCTCTCCCCCAACCCCTCTCCAACCGCCCACCACTCCTATCTGCCCACCCATTACCTCCCATTTATTTAACTGTACTGGACATTCATTGGTGGAGGAGGGGATGCTGCTGGATGCTGCAAAGTTGATAATTCACCCAAAGCAAGGCTGTCTTCAAACCAAACCTAAGGCAGTCTATGCAGTGGATTTTTAAACATCCGTTTTGTAAAGAGGGTTTTGTGAATGATATTGCAAAGGAAGGCAGTGTGGGTCTCAGTTGTTCAGCAGCTATTGGCCTCATGATCCTCTTGGAAAAGGGGAGAAATCAGGTTGATCATAGTTGCTCTGGTTTTCAGGCATTCATTTCACAAAGTGAAAGACTTTAACTAATCTTGCCACCCCATACAAGACAACTCAGAAGCAAGTCTTGTTGAGTTCAGTCGGGTTGACTCCTAGAAGAGTAATGTAGAATTGCAGTCTAAGTGTGGCTATTTCCAAGTCCAGTTCTTTGTTTTTTCCATTCCAAAGGTTTAGCACTTCACAGGGTGAGGAGCAGACACCTTGCCCTAATAGCAGGGATCTTTTAAGGTCCAATATATTTCTACAGGCAAACACAGATGAGCATTTACCAACCATAATAGTCCTGGTGGCTAGTGCCCATTGGCACTGGTGGGTCCTCACTATGGTCCCATGTGAACCAAGAGTAGACTCTGAACTCCTGTGAAGGGGTCCAGCCCAGGAGAAGATTGGCAGTGGTAGTCAAGCTGTTTCTCCAAGAAAGCTTGCCCATCAGTACTGATCTTCTGACTGAGAAATCCCATTGAGCCACTGATGAACCCTAGGTACCATAGATCATAGTTTGAAAAGCCATTGCCGTATGTTGCTATTGTCTAAGCCTCATCAAAATATTTTCTGACAGAATTGTGGTGCTGATGCAGCAAGAATAGGCAAGATGTATGTTCCTCCTTCCTCTTTCATCCCTTGCCAGGGTGTTACCACCCCTAGGTAAGAACCTAGAGCTATCAGGGAAGTCCACTCCAAGAAACCCTGTTGCAAAGAGCCCGTATCTCCAGAACGCACTAAATCTTTGACAATAAGCATCTCCCAATGCATGCCTAACATAAAAGATAACGCTTGAAATTCCACACCTACATCTTAAAAAACAAAAAAAAATCTCCTGTGATCCAGCTCCAATATTGAAATCACCTGCTTGTTGTAGTTCCTGGGCAAGTGAATGGCTGCCTCTGAGGGCTATTGTCTTGCCATCAGGCGCGGCTAGTGAATGCGTCTTGGGAGAACCAGCTCGCAACCTCGCTGCTGCAACAGTGAGCAATGTTTTCACTGCACGCTACACGTCACCGATGGTTTATTTTTAATGATTGCTTGGCTCTTGGCATCTATTTTAATGTACTGTTTTGATACTGGAAATAAAGAGGCTTTTTAAAAACAGCACCGGGAGATTTTCTTGGCGTAGGCAGACTAGCTTTTCTCCATGAACACTGCTTTGTTGTTCTTAGAATCACTTTGCCATCTTGTAGTTTACTAGGGGCTGGGCCTCACCCTTCCCTCACCCCCATTAATCATCGAGACAGCACGTACTTCAGAAGGCCTCTAGCTCTTTCATCTCCCAGTTAGTATGCAGCTTTGGAGCTTAGCCTGCTTGTGCATTTCTCTCCCCCCAACCTCCTAAACTGGCCCCTGCCTTCCATTAAACCTCTTCCATTTCCTTGGACTACAAGTTAGCCAGACCTTCTATCCTCCTTTAAGCGGCTTCTGGTAGGGCAAGTATCAGTCAAGAGAGTTTGGTGGTAAGATGCAAGGTCCAGTTTGCAAAAGAATCCCGCTTGCATGGTGCTGCGTTCATTATTTCATGGTAACGGGAGGTGCTTCTTCTGGTGCCAAAATAAAGAACCAGTTTCTTCTGATAACCCAGCTTGAGGCTTTGGTCATTTGAAACAGTTGCCCTTGTACTACCTGCTGACTACCAATTGCCCTTGGTTCACTAGTATGAGCATTTAGAAAACTCTAATGTGTGTGTTAAAAACACAGTTTTTGAGGTCCCAGCATCAGTTGCCCCTGTTAGAATGAAAGTGCTAAACCTGAAATGAATTTTTTTGGTCAAATTTGAAATCCAGACACAAAAAATAAACATAAAAATTCAAGTGTGATGCTGTGAATTTCAAACATTGTCTGATTTCACTTTAAAATTCAGTCAATATTTAGCACTTACTAACCTATTTGGTTTCAGTCTGAAAATTCCACTATATGTTAAAACCTCTCCAATTTAAACTATTTTTAAAAAAGGTTTAATTTTGGCTGGATCAGTCCCAATTCACCTGTGGATGAATTTTCATGAAATGTTGTTAAAGATCAATCTCTCAATATTTGTACACCTTTAAGAAGTATTATTAAATGCATAAATCCTGCAGAATACATAGTCAGGGAACTACAATAATATATATGTAATTCCCACCTCCAAGTCAATTTGTCTCTAGGAGAATTTGAGAACACCATCATCATCCTGGCATGTTCTTAGTTCTATTTGCTATCTAGTGTGGAATAACAGATCTTGGATTGCAACAGTCTACAGGAATGTTTTAAGAGTATTTTGCATGGCAAAGTATCCCAAAGGTGTAATGCATAATTCTCAAATAATCTGGTGCAATAACTAAAAATATTTGTGTGGTCATTTAGAGGGGCCGTAGCTCAGAGGAAGTTCTCATGCTTTCATCTGCGGCATCTCCAGTTAAAAGGATATACGGTAGCAAAGTTGGGAGAGATGCTCAGTGTCACAATGGGTCAGTGCGTCTGGCCCATTGTTAACCAGAAGGTTGGTGGTTTGAGTCCACCCAGCGATGGCTGTGAGCAGGATTCCTGCATTGCTGGGGGTTGGACTAGATGACGCTTCCAACTCTGTGATTCTGTGATATTCGCCCACCAGAGCTACTGAAACAGACAAGGGATGAGTATGTGGTTGGACTCCAGCTCCCACTGTCCCTGATCATTGTTCATGCTGGTTGGGCGTTGATGGGAATAGCAGTCTACATAGGCACCAGGTTTTCCATCCCTGGAGTAGAAGTGGGCTAGATGGACTCCATGTTTAATTCAACACAAGGTAGCTTCCCATGTTCATCTGGAAATCTCATCTTTCTGTTTTTCATGCACCTGTAATGCATCAAAATCCACATGCTGTGCCCTAGCAGGTGGTGATTGTTGGCATAGGTCAAGGTGAGCATTGGGGCATAGTAGAGCACAGGTTTCACCAGAAGGTCTAAGCAGATGGAAACAGCACACAGGTTTCTCCTGAGCTGCTTCCAACGTGGCCCACATATCTCAGTGGCTACTGCAACTAAGTACTGCAGAGGACTGGGTGAGGGTGGAGGTGGTGGGGGATGCCTTGGGTGGTATTCAGCTACATTTTTGCACAAGCACAATGCTTTCCTCCCCTGCATGAGTCCCACACCACCTCCCAAATATGCTCTAGAGGGTTGGGGGAATGTCCATAACTTATGGGGGAAGGTGAGGGGGAGATAGTTCCATTGAGCAAGGGAAAAAACTACAGGCAACCCACTATTTACCTAGGGGTTACGTTCTGAGACATTGTGCACATCAGTGAAATCACGTATATTTGAAACATCATTGAAAAGCCTTCAAATGCCCTGTTCCATCCCTGCCTTGCCCAGTTCTGCCCCCTTTTGTGATGTATTTGTGACTTTTGTGGTCACTTCCGGGTTTGGTGCAATGCGCGCATGCGCGGACGCACACATATTGAATGCACATAAATGGGGGGTCTCCTGTATGCCAATGGAACAATTTGCTCAGTGCTACATTGAATACAACCTTTTATCTCCAGATAACAACCTTCTCCAGCCTTGTGTCCCCAGATGTGTTTGGACTATAACCCTCATAATCCCTGATCATTCATTACACTGACTGTGAGTGATGGGAATTGTAGTCTAAGTGCTCGACAGCACTTCCTCCACTTTTCCACACAGCCCCTTACAGATCTAGTAGGGACTCTATCAAATTGGGGTCCCCTGGCTCTTGAGATGGACTCAGTCCCATCTCATGATGGGACTACATAAGCCAAGCCTGAAATTTGTTGACGGTTGCAATTAGCCTCAAAAGTTTCTTGTGTGAAACCAGTTTAGAAACAGTGATACCACTGCCCCTCCTTTGATTCTCAGTGGACATTTCTTCTCTGAAATGGAACTGCATCAAATTTAAAGGCAAACATGGGGAACCTCAGGCATGGGGACAAATCTGTTCCTCCAGGCCTCCCTGCCCAGACTTTGGGACTCTGCTCCTAGTGGTACCATTCAATGGTCCTGCTTCACATTCTCAAGTGCCTTTTGTCCTTAAACCAGTAGTTTTCAACCAGTGTGCTGTGGCACCCTGGGATGTCTTGAATGATGGGTGCCGCGGGCAACACTGGCCTCTGTCCCTATTTTCTTCCCTCCCTCCTCTGATGCTATCTCACATATCTACCTCCGAAAGGCTTCCACAGCTGTTTATTGCAGCAGCCCTGGCTATGAGCTCCGCAGGAGAATGGTGCCTCTGGGGCTGGCCAGGAGGTGCTTTCCAGGTCCCTATGGGGCAGCGTGAGGAGGCACCTCTCTTTGGGGTCTGGGGAGAGGCAGCTCAGAGACCAGGGTCAGCAACTGGAGAGGGGAGAGGAGCGGAGGCTGAAGGAACACTCCACAAGGGAAGGTGTTTGAAAAAGGGTGTGAGGCTGCCAGCTCCGCAGGCAAGGGGTGACATAACTGGGCTGCTGAGCCCCTCAGGGGAGCCGCAGAAAGAGTGCAGTTGGTCAAGGGAGCTGTGGACTCAAAAAGGTTGAAAACCTCTGCCTTAAACTGCGAGAGCCAGTGTTGTGTAGTGGTTAAGAGCGGTGGACTCGTAATCTGGTGAACTGGGTTCGCTTCCCCGCTCCTCCACATGCAGCTGCTGGGTGACTTTGGGCCAGTCACACTTCTCTGAAGTCTCTCAGCCCCACTCACCTCACAGAGTGTTTGTTGTGGGGGAGGAAGGGAAAGGAGAATGTTAGCCGCTTTGAGACTCCTTACAGTAGTGATAAAAAGGGATATCAAATCCAAACTCTTCTTCTCTTCTTCTTGTTTGTCAGGATGGACGGATGTGGGCGTGTAGAAAGCTGAGCTCTGACTATTGCATGACTGGAATATTGTATACTCTACAAAGGTATACGTCAATTGCCTCTGGCCCTGTTCCTTACTGGCACACGACCACTGGAAAGCTGTCCATTAAGGAATATGGCATACCCTCCAACATTTCTCTGACGAAGATAGGGATGTACTAAGGAAAAGCGGGACATTCCGGATCAAATCAGAAACTGGGATGGCTTCTGTAAATCTGGGACTGACCCTGGAAAATAGGGACACTTGGAGGTCAGATATGTTCCTGTGGCTGAAGGAATATGACTCAATCCCCCCACATCCGTCTCAAGTCTACCCAAACAGCTCTTAATTTTAGTAAAATAATAATAATTCTGGCCTATACCACTTTCATCTGTAAGTGGGGAATTGCATGACTGAATGGTACACACCACACATTCAAGGCATATTTCCCCCCTCCCAAAGAATCATGGGAACTGTAGTTTGTTAAGGTTGCTGGAGCTTGCTGCTCTAGGAGGGCTAAACTACAGATTCCAGGATTCTTTTTTGGGGGGTGAGAGATGCTTTAAATATATGGTGGTGTGAATGCTTCAGTCTGAAAGCAGAACTTAATCAGGCCCTGTGGATGTGGGGTTTTTTTTGTGTGTGTGTGTGTGTGGTGTGTAACCTGGACTTGACTGCTAAGTTCTGCTGCCAGACTAATCAAAGCTCTGAATCAGAAAGGACGAGAGAAGGTAGAGTTAATTTTCTCGTCTACCAGCTTCCCCTTCTTATTGGGAAAAAAAAGAGAGAGAGATCTTTGCTGAGGCTGCTGTGATAACAACTCTCTTCCTGTAAGGAGACCTCTGAAGAAAATGCCGAGGTTGCAAACATTAAGTATCCGTGAAGCAACAACGGAGGCAGCTTTGCTGCGCAAAATGAAAATGCGGCGGTGCAGATAAATGTAAAACACATTGCAGCGGCTCTGGTTCTTTCCAGTGGCATCAGGCAATTACGATAACACAACTTTCCACTGTATTTTATTGTATCTCCCCCTCAAAAGATGAATAGCCTACCGGCACAATCTACATATTGTAATTAACTGATAAATATTTAATAAGGGCAAGAACTTTATCCTTTCTTGGCTTTCCAGCAAGAAACTGGAAAGTGGGCAAACTAAAAAAAAATAAAAAATAAACATTCATTGCCCACCCCCCTCTTTCCCCCTCCCCTTAGTGGTTTGAAAGCTAGAACCTATCAGTGCCTTTATAAAATAAGTAAGAAAGAATGTATCAGGGAGCAGAATGCAAAGGAAATATAAAAGGAGAAATTACAAGAGGGGGAGAGGTAAATTTGCTGACATAAGCACACATCTCCAGATTGTAATCTGAAATAAAATAGCAGGAGTTTGGCCAGCCAGAGGATGAATCTGAGGTTAAATTGTTATTTACAGAAGAGCAAAGAGTGGAGCAGAAAGCAAAGGGACCCTATAGCACTAGCCCTCAATCTCTGCTATGCGAAGTTTAATTATGAATTACTGTGAAATAAAGGCAGGGGCGGTCCAATCCCAATTGCTGCTTTAGGCAAAACTTAGTTATATTTCGGTTTTATGTCTAGAGAGTCAGTGTGTCAGAGTGCTTAGAGTGTTGGACTTTGACCTCAAATCCCCACACATTCACATATGCTGACTTACCTGGGAGTAAGTCCCATCGAGTGAATGGGGTCTATTTCTGAATCAACATGCAGAACAGTGCGTTGTAAGCGGGTTTGTGCCTGTCATCCTAACCTCCCTCATAGGATTGTCATGAGGATAATTTGGGAGAATCGTGTGCACCGTCTTGAGGTCTTTGGGGAAAAGTAGGATTAAAATGTTGTTGCCCTGTTGTTGCCAAAGGAACCTTCTAGTTGGCTTTTGGTTTCCCTTGATTATACAGTGGTAAAGGTAAAGGTAAAGGGACCCCTGACCATTAGGTCCAATCGTGACCGACTCTGGGGTTGCGGCGCTCATCTTGCTTTGCTGGCCAAGGGAGCCGGTGTACAGCTTCCAGGTCATGTGGCCAGCATGACTAAGCCGCTTCTGGCAAACCAGAGCAGCGCATGGAAACACCATTTACTTTCCCGCTGGAGCGGTACCTATTTATCTACTTGCACTTTGATGTGCTTTTGAACTGCTAGGTTGGCAGGAGCTGGGACCGAGCAACGGGAGCTCACCCTGTCGCGGGGATTCGAACCGCCCACCTTCTGATTGGCAAGTCCTAGGCTCTGTGGTTTAACCCACAGCGCCACCCGCGTCCCATTATACAGTGGTACCTCGGGTTACATTACGCTTCAGGTTACATATGCTTCAGGTTGCAGACTCCGCTAACCCAGAAATAGTACCTTGGGTTAAGAACTTTGCTTCAGGATGAGAACAGAAATCATGCTCCAGCGGCGCAGCAGCAGGCCCCATTAGCTAAAGTGGTGCTTCAGGTTAAGAACAGTTTCAGGTTAAGAACGGACCTCCGGAACGAATTAAGTACGTAACCAGAGGTACCACTGTGTACCCCTTCTTATGTTTCGTTAAGTGAATTGTGCAAGGAGAACAGGCTGGGACCTGGGAAAGCAGAGCAAGTGAAGCATAGGCTCCTTGTTCTGAGGTTCTAGGGCGTTTGCGTCCCTGCCTTTCAGGATTTCCTAGAGTCATCTGACACCTCCAATTCTGATGGCCCTGGCAACTGTCTATACAGTGGTACCTCAGGTTAAGTACCGTATTTTTTGCTCTATAAGACTCACTTTTCCCCTCCTAAAAAGTAAGGGGAAATGTGTGTGCGTCTTATGGAGCGAATGCAGGCTGCGCAGCTATCCCAGAAGCCAGAACAGCAAGAGGGATCGCTGCACAGTGAAAGCAGCAATCCCTCTTGCTGTTCTGGCTTCTGAGATTCAGAATATTTTTTTTCTTGTTTTCCTCCTCCAAAAACTAGGTGCGTCTTGTGGTCTGGTGTGTCTTATAGAGCGAAAAATACGGTACTTAATTCTTTCCAGAGGTCTGTTCTTAACTTGAAGCACCACATTAGCTAATGGGGCCTCTTGCTGCTGCTGCGCCGCCGCTGTATGATTTCTGGGTACTATTTCTGGGTTAGCGGAGTCTGTAACCTGAAGCATATGTAACCTGAGGTACCACTGTACTGTGTCGGGCTGACCCTGAGAAATTCTGTACATGCTCAGGAGCACCCTTTCCCTCTCCAGCCAGCCTGATTGGCATGTTTGCTAATTCAGTGTGAGAAATAAGATGTTCAGAAGATAATGCAGCCTTGCAAAACAGACTCCTGGATATGTCACGGGGAAATCCGGAGTTTGGCACGTGCTCTGATGTGCATGCATGGAATTCCTGTGTGAGCAGCATTCATTTCTCCATTCAGAATGGTAGTTCGGCGCACATGCCGGATATTATGCATATGCATGGTTTCTGAAGTAGGATGGTGAATTCACCCGTGTGCACACATTTTCATTTGTGTGCCAGTTTCTTCATTCCCATCTGTGCGCAAATTGTTGCCAAAAACCTTGCAAAGGCACTTGCTTTCTAAGGGGATGGTCACGATAATAAAAGAAATAAATTCATGTACATCAAAGTAGGCAGACCTTGAGAAAAATATGAAATTCTTATTTCAAAACACGTCTTTTAATCTTTGTATGTTTTCGACAGATCTGATGGAGGTCCTTAATTATGACCTTTGAATTATTGGGATTGGCTGCGTTGTACTCAAAATAGAATGGAATGGCTTTTGTTTGTTAATCTGATACTATGAACTCAATTAATTAATTAACTAATCAGAGACTTAATAGGAGCAACAAGAAAAATAGTGGCTTGCAGTGCACAGTGTGCTTTGCAATCCTTATCTTTCAGACTTACTAAAAAAAAGAAACAGCAGCTTAAAAATCCAGAGTGAATTAAATCTGAAATCAGAAAACAACCTGCAGACTGACCAAATGAATTCTGCATTCCTTTAGTCAAATTCATTTGTGAGTTAATCCAGGAGGTGTTCCTTCTAGTGCTCCAGTGCTTATTTTGGGGTCATTTTAACCACCTTCTAGAGTCTTATCTAACATAGGGGGGGCAGGTGTAAAAGAAGAGGGCATGACTTTGGCACCTTTAACAATTCCGCAGAAGAAGTAATTTCAGCAGGCATAGCTTATGTTGTCATTAGGTCTGTCTGCAGCTTTGCATCTGGCCAGCCTATAAATGATAGGTTACATTTCTGGGTTACGTATTTCACCGAGGAAAACAGAATTTCCCTAACATAAGAAATCTTTTATTAATTCAAGATGCCAGTGATATTCTGTCAACCTAGTCCAGGAAACCAAGAGCAGAGGAGGAGTACGTATATACCATCTTGCATTTCAAGAAAGAATACCAAATTTATGGCTTGCACGTGGACACAGACTCTTAACAGTTCCAGTGAGATCAACAACTTCTTAGACTATTGGCAGGGGAGGAAAGTAGGTGTGTGGTTTATGTGCCTATTCTGGGAGCTGGATGCAACGAGATGCAAAATGGAGAAGAAGGTTTTCTACTTAGAAGGCTTACCCATTATGTTTTACCTCTTGATTAATTTAACAAAAAGCGTCTAGGGACATGGGTGGCGCTGTGGGTTAAACCACAGAGCCTAGGACTTGCCGATGGTCGGTGGTTCGAATCCCCATGACGGGGTGATCTCCGGTTGCTCGGTCCCTGCTCCTGCCAACCTAGCAGTTCGAAAGCATGTCAAAGTGCAAGTAGATAAATAGGTACTGCTCCGGTGGGAAGGTAAACAGTGTTTCCATGCGCTGCTCTGGTTTGCCAGAAGTGGCTTAGTCATGCTGGCCACATGACCCGGAAGCTGTACGCCGACTCCCTCAGCCAATAAAGCAAGATGAGCGCCGCAGCCCCAGAGTCAGCCACGACTGGACCTAATGGTCAGGGGTCCCTTTACCTTTACCTTTTACCTGCAGTGGATTTCATGGCAGGGGGCATAATCATTATCAGTTATATAATTTCCACTGGCAAATTATCATCTGAATACCATTTAATATTCCAGTGCTTTTTTTTTAGCATCCAAACTACTTCACTTAAGCTATCTTTGTAATAATCCTTACAACAGGCCTGTAGAGTAGGTCTTGTGACAGATATGGGGGACAAGGTTAAGGTCACAGCTACACTGCACATTTGAAGCACATGGCTTTCCCCAATGTGTCCTGTGAACTGCAGTCTGCCCCTCACAGAGCTACAATTCCAAGTGCCCCTAAAACCACAGTTCCCAAGATTCTTTGGGGAAGCCATGTGAGTGTGACCTAAGTGAATAAGATCTTCTCTGAGACCACCCTAGGGAGTTCACAGCTGAAGTAAGATTTGACTGCACGGGTTGGGGTTCAATCTGTGATCTTCATCACTGTGCTTACGCCGCAGCAAACTGTGGTATGTAGTCGAGAGAGCGTTGGTTCAGAATCCTTCCACAGCCATCCTAAGTTGGCACATACCTTTATGGGTACAGTGGTACCTCGGGTTAAGTACTTAATTCGTTCCGGAGGTCCGTTCTTAACCTGAAACTGTTCTTAACCTGAAGCACCACTTTAGCTAACGGGGCCTCCTGCTGCTGCCGCGCCGCCGGAGCCCGATTTCTGTTCTCATTCTGAAGCAAAGTTCTTAACCCGAGGTACTATTTCTGGGTTAGCGGAGTCTGTTACCTGAAGCGTATGTAACCCAAGGCACCACTGTACCAACAAAAATGTTGTGAAATAGTGACAAACATTTGAGTTCTCCAGAACTCTTCATCAAACTGGATGGAACATGAAGCAGGGAATGAGGAAAAATAAAAATACAATAAATTAAGCTGGATGTTATGTTGATGGGGCCACAGCATCCAACCTAGGTTTTGTGTTCCTAATTCCATCCTTGTCTACACACCTCCTGCTTTGTGTAACATCTGAAGCTCCCCACTCTTTTGTGACATTTCCATTGGGAGGTATTGCCAGTGATGGAATTTTAGAGGTCTTCCCCCCCCCTTGCCTTTTCTTATGGGATCCATGTTTGCTTTTTGTGTCCTTTTGTCATGATGAAGCTCATTTTCCCCTTGAAGGAAGGGGTAGGATTTAAACACATGATAAATAAATTAACATGGGCATAATGACCTCGCCCCCATTGCAATTGCACATATCCTCATTCAAAACATTTTGACTCTCAAATGTGGCACATGTGAGTGATTGCCTAGTCAAATTTTGATTTATGGCTGTAGATAGCATGACATTTGACAGTCCTAATGAAGTCGGGCTTCTTCGGTCTGCTTCCTTGTTTCCCATGTTTTAATCTTTTTGGATGGCTTTGTGGCGAGCCAGTGTGGTAGTGGTTCAGAGCAGTGGACTCGTAATCTGGTGAACCGGGTTCGCTTCCCCGCTCCTCCACATGCAGCTGCTGGGTGACCTTGGGCCAGTCACACTTCTTTGAAGTCTCTCAGCCCCACTCACCTCACAGAGTGTTTGTTGTGGGGGAGGAAGGGAAGGGAAAGGAGAATGGATTTGATATCCTGCTTTATCACTACCCTAAGGAGTCTCAAAGCAGCCAACATTCTCCTTTCCCTTCCTCCCCCACAACAAACACTCTGTGAGGTGAGTGGGGCTGAGAGACTTCAGAGAAGTGTGACTGGCCCAAGGTCACCCAGCAGCTGCATGTGGAGGAGCAGAGACGCGAACCCGGTTCCCCAGATTACGAATCTACCGCTCTTTACCACTACACCACACTGGCTCTTTGAGACTCCTTAGGGTAGTGATAAAGCGGGATATCAAATCCAAACTCTTCTTCTTCTTCTTCTTTAAAAGAGGATTGGACAAATTCGTGGAGGATGAGACACTCAAGGGCTACTAGCCCTGATGGCTGTGCTCCACAGTCAGAGGCAGCAATGCTTATGGAAACTGCAGGAAGGGAGACGCTCTTGTGCTCGGGTTCTGTTTGATGGTATCACAAAGGAGAATCTGGTTGGCCACTGTGAGAACAGAATGCTGGACTAGATGGCTCTTCTTAAGTTAACATTTGAAAGCTCCCTATGGTCTCCTTGGGCAGCTTCAATAGGAGATCTTCCTGGCAGTCTAGACCAAAGATTGCTGTTAAAGCTGGGACTCCTAGTATTCAGGCAAAGATGAGCAGAGACCCAAACAGTTGCTGCTCGTTCTTCTTGGAGAGCTGGAGACAATTCAAAAGAGGAATCAACTCTTGTCCTGCATGCACACTCTTCCCACTTTTGCCTCTGCAAACAGGTTTAGCAGGTTTCTTATATTGCTGCTTAGAACCTTAGGAATCTGTTTTGAGTCAAGAGTTGAGAGTAGGACGTGAGAATCATGTGGGTTTGTGCCACGTAATGCAGTGTTTCCAACAACTCTTTCTCTGTTGGTTTTACTCTGGCTCAAAAGCTTGTGAGCTATCTGAAGCATACTGGGGCATAATTGGAGGCCATAAACCACCCTCTTCCTCGTCTTGCATAATTCAGGAACAAATTGCAACTATTGCAGAGTAGAATCTCTAAAAGAAGGGGGGGTGATGCTGTTTGTTAATGTCTTTCTCAAGGTTAGTATCGCTTGTGCAATCACCCCTCCCTTCCTGCAGTGTTCTGATGCATGTATTTTCAGGAAAATGTCTGCTATAAGCGAATTATAACTCCATTCCTGGAATTAAATCAAAATTCAGCACTAACTCAATTGTATCTAGCATGATAGAAAGGTCAGGAGGGATCCTTGGTCCATTGCAGGCTCAGGATTTCAGTAATGAATGCTTCAGCAGCCCTTAAACCCCCCCCCCCAATACTAATGGGCAAAGCTATAACCACAGCTTGCAAATGGCTTGCTACAAAGGCCTCCACTGGTGCTTGAGAGGAGTAATGCTACTCCCTGTTCCATATATCTGATTTTGGTCTGTATTGTACTCAGTGTCTGCAGTGCTCTGAGCCTAGTTGACTTCTGTCATCAAGCTCAAAGATGTGTTTGGCTTCACAGATAGGCTAAAGCAATCTGCTGCCAGAACGCTAAAGGGAGGTAAAATGTCTCTGTGTGTCTATGCATGTTTTAGTACAATTAACTGGATATATTTTTTCAAGGGGTACTGAGGGTAAAAATGCAAAAAAGAAGGGTTTTCCAATACTACTGGAAATGTTCCTGAAAAAAAAGGGAGTAGGTTTGGCTGAGTCCTAATGGGAAAGGTTCATTTTTTAGGAAGAACCAGAACTGCATGCCACTTTAAGGCAGCCAACAGTGGGCATGGCATTTGCTTTCAGCCTCAGTTTGCCCAGTCTGTACAATGGAACCAATAGCAACCTACTATAGAAACTGTCTAAAGCAGGAGGTGAGGAATTGTGAGCCTGACAGTGTAACTAGACCCACCTGGCCACTTTGCCCAAGCCTGCCAATCACCTAAAGCAAGGTAAATTTCCATCAGAGGAGAGGATGTTGGTCATTGATGGTGCTTAGAAATATTGGTTTATATTCAAACGTACAATTCAAATAGGTAGTGGGCAAGAAGACACACAAAGGGACAGTGCTATTCCCAGGACGGTAGCAATACATCTCTTCTGCCTACTTGGCTGCAAAAAATGTAGAATTGCTTTCTCCCCATCACTTTCTTTTGCAATTCTCCTGGGAGACACATATCTCCTTTTACTCCCAAAGAGCAAACCAGTTTCACTACCTTCTCCAACCTGTCAGTTAATTGTAGCTTTAGGTACCTTCCATAGTGAGGTTTAGATAGGCTTTCCACCTGTTCCTTATTTCAACAAATGGCTCCTTATTTAGTAATATGAAACATTAACGCTAAACAAGGAACTGTTTCCTGAAATAAGGAACAGGTTACTAGAATAGACTTTGGTAACAACTAGCCAGGTTAGCTATTAGTAGCCCTTAAGGTATCGCTCATCTCAATGGCTTGGGTGAAGGGCCATTACGAAAACAAAGGAAAGGTGACGAGCCATTAGGAGAAGGGGCTGTGTGCCAGACGGCAAATGGGTGGAGCCCCTCCTCCAGCTTGCAAGTAGTGAGAAGGAGGAAGCCAGAGCTTAGAGTTGAAAAGTCTGTGTAATGTGACCTAGAGGAAAAAACTGCAGACAGAAAAGCCAGAGAGGCAGAACACAATGTTTGATGCAGAATCAAAGGCAGCAACTATGGGAGAAACAAGCCGCTCTTGGGGTGTTAATGCAGTGAACTGCTCTGTCATAAGTTCAGGTTTTATATATGTGTAAATAAACACATCACAAAGAGACCAAAGTCTCCACTGTGCATCATTCCCAAAAGGAAACATGAACCTTGGGTGAGTTCCAGGAACACCTGGAATCTCGCACCGCTCAAAGATTGGGGTGGCGTGCAAATAATATTTTATCAATTCAGATGCAAAAAGCATCATCATCAAGTACAGCCCCTTTTCCTGGTAGCAAACATGGAAATGGAAGTCTGTTCCTTTTTGGTCTCCCCTACCATGCTTAATGGGACGCGGGTGGCGCTGTGGGTTCAACCATAGAGCCTAGGTCTTGGCGATCAGAATGCCGGCAGTTCGAATCCCCATGATGTGGTGAGCTCCCGTTGCTCGGTCCCTGCTCCTGCCAACCTAGCAGTTTGAAAGCATGTCAAAGTGCAAGTAGATAAATAGGTACCGCTCCAGCGGGAAGGTAATTGGTGTTTCCGTGCGCTGCTCTGGTTTGCCAGAAGTGGCTTAGTCATGCTGGCCACCGGCTCCCTCGGCCAGTAAAGCAAGATGAGCGCCGCAACCCCAGAGTTGGCCACAACTGGACCATATGGTCAGGGGTCCCTTTACCTTTACCATGGTTAATGCAGGAAAATCCAGTTGTTTATATACAGTGGACCCTCAGGTTATGTTACCTTTGGGTAATGTAATCTTCAGGTTGCGAACGTGGCAAACCTGGAAGTGGGTTTGCCGCTCGCGCGTGTGCAGAAGCACTCTGCCTGCTTCACGCATGTGCAGTAGTGGTCCTCCGGTTACGAAATCTTCGGGATACGGCCGGGCCTCAGGAACGGATCTCGTTCATAACCGGAGGTACCACTGTATATGAATATGAGCACCATTCACAACTGACACTATTGCATCAACATCACTTTGTGTTTTCTGCACTTGAGATTATTATTTATTTTCCTTACATTTATATTCTGTCTCCCATCTCTCTCGAAGGTGGATTATAAAGTAAGGGAGGTATCCAACTAAGTCGTTCTGTCAGCGCAAGGATTTGTAATTGTGCAATGGGACTTCCTGGACCACACCCTCCCTAAATCTGTTCTGGAGGCTTGGGGGACCCTTTAGAACAGATTCAGCTTTGAGTCATTCAGAGTCATGTGCCCAAGTTATGAGAAATCATCTGAACGCATGAAAGAATTGGTCCATTGATACTAAGCAGTGTGGGGTACTGCCATGAAGGGATGTAGTATAAGCGCTAGAGGTAGTACCTTTCTGCCCTTCTTTGCACTTCTTGACATTTTGATGCCACATCACACAGCGGTGCAGATTGATTCCTCCCAAAAACTGGTCCCAATTCCATTGGTGCATAAACCCCAACTGATGGGCTATCCCACCAAATTCTGCTATGAGACCAACAACACCGACTGCATCCCAGGGCAGTTAGTTTAGACAGACTGCCGAGGGTGTAAATAGAGTCATTTGGTAGATAATATCATCTGAGAGTAGTCAAATCATTACTATATAAATGCTCTGGAGTGATGACGAGGCGGTGGAAATGATACAATCATCCAATAACAAGCATCACTTAGGATAATATGCAGCGCAATAGAACACCTATTTAGCATGCCGTAAAACCTCTTGGCTTTGTGTATGGAGATGCAGTGTCTCAGTGCCAGGCCACAGGAGCTGAGCAAACAGCGATAACAGCAATGCTAAATAAATAAATAGGCAGCCAAGTGTTTTATAAATCCTGGTTATTTATTGGCACGCCAGCCTCGCGTACCCGTTAAAAGAGGCCGCGGCAAGCGTCTGTGTAGCTTCACTGCAACGTCCGAGGAGGAAGAGGACGAGCAATCCTGCAATGCCGCCGCTGTTCTTTTGGTGAAGTTTAGCTCGACTAAACAGCGTGGATTTTTAATGTCGCATTCTAATTCTCCTATTACTGTCATAAAGCCATTTGTCAAATGCCCTGGGAGACTCCATGGACATCAGCCTTGCAATACTTTTTATTGCCGGACTAATCTTTACAGATCGAATTAAGACTGGGGAACTTTATCAGCGGATTGCACTGGGTGAAGGGTTACGTGTGTATTTCATTTGTTCTGCTATCAAAGGTGCCCAGGCCTTTGCTCCTGCCTACTGCCACCGAGGCCAAATATGCTCATTACTGTGTAATCAAATAGCCTTTAAGAGGTTCGCTCGGTGGGCTGATGCTTTGAATAAAGCAAGATGAATGTGGCATCCCTCTCCCCATCTGCAGAGCAGAGGCAATTTCTTTCCATCCCAATATTAATTCTCCTATTAAATTAAATAACACTAAGGGTTGCATAACATTCATTAAACATCACAGGCGCCCGGGCTCCCCACCGTGTCAATGCCATCCTCGTAACACTGCATTAATTAGCAACAGGCAGGCAAGTTGTTCGTCTGCCTTTTCCGTATTAATTACGGAGTGAAATAAACAG